CATCTAAAGTACTGCCAAAAGGACAGGCTAATAACACATATTGTGGTGCAACCAAGCAATGAGCCCAGTTTAATTGATAAAACAATGAGTATCAAACAAGTTTTCATACTAATACAGTAAATCTGACACATCTCACATCAACATTTTATCATCTTTATCATCTTAATTAATGTGCTGGCTAGATTTACTTATTGTAGGGGAAGTCATGGCCTAATGGTTAGAGAGTCGGACTCGTAACCCAAAGGTTGTGGGTTCGAGTCTCGTACCGGCAGGGATTGTAGGTGGGGGGAGTGAATGTACAGCGCTCTCTTCCACCTTCAATACCTCATTGTGTCAACAAGGTTTAGCTGAATTAGATCATGGCCACGAATTAAGAACATGGCTCATGGTAATAATCAATAAAACTAGCAATTCATTATTATTTCTTAGCAGTTCTCATGTTGGCTACTTAAACTTTGCATTGTTTTAGAACTATTAAACAAAACTTAATTGAAAATCGGTAAAGTTACGCACTCTGATTGCTGTCCGTGTTGTCCATCTTTAGTGATCCAATTTGGCAGGTGGCACTTTTACAAAAGAATAGAGTCCTAGAACTGCGGCCTTGAAACTGCAGCCTCCGGTTGAACAACTATATATAATTGTTAGACACAGACATCAAGAATCAGCATATGAATCTCAACAATGGTGATGATCATCAGACAGATTCATGTTGCATTGCATTCTGGGTTCACCAATCATAGCTCATCCATGGCTCCCAGCATGCATTGCAACATGAATAAATTATGCAGCTGAATTTAGTATTTGCTTTTATTTTTGTTATTTTTTGTTGACTTTTTACTGCCTTGTTTTGTCACATTCAAAAATCATGTAAAAATGATCAGAATATTTTGTCACAATTGCTGAGATTCACATGCTGATTCTTCATGTCTATGAATGCCAGAATTAAAAGCTCTTTATGAACCATATTTATAAAAGTTATTTATAAAGTGTTTCTCATATTGTTTTCTCATAATACTGCAACAACATAAAAAACATAATAGCACTACAGTTTAAGACAAATTGCAATCAGAGACTATGACGCGTGACATGATTTAATCATAAGTTCCTTGCCATCACACACGTTTAATTCACACATTTGTGCCAACCTAAGACAAACTCAAACGTAAAGTGTCAAGAGGCAACTAAAGCAACCACTATTCACAAAAACGGTAAGTTGAAGAAAAAAAAACATATAAACATTAATTCTCAATAAAGAACTTCTGTTTTAGATACTCCAGAAATAAAGTCTAACTGGTTAGTAATGCATGAAGCTGGTGATGCTGTTTGTGGAGATGATTAATTATCTTCTGCTGAGATCTTGAGAGATTTAATGTCTTCTTTTATGTCAGTTGATTTCATCTAAGGCTGTGGCTGAAGTCAGTTGTAGTTCTTGTGTTTCTCTTTTCTTCAGTGATTCTGCTTGTTAACAGCAGCTGTTCATCACTAATGATCAATCAGCACTTAATTAATCACATAATTATCTCATTAACTTGAACACTGTTTCAGTGTTACTTTAACACTCTTTTAGAGTGGGACCATATATGCTCCAAGCAGTGTTAATTTAACACTCGGGAATTTACTGTGTAGTATAAGCAGAATAACTGATGACGGGCTGTTGAATCATTCGAAATTAAAACACTCTTTTACCAAAATTATGGATCAAATAAAAAAAAAGGGATCTTCACTCCTTCTTTCTGTTTTTGCTGGGGAAAAATGAAATATTATTGATGTTTGGTTTTATTAATTTATTATGATAACAGTAGTGATGTGCAAACAATTCTACACATTCAAATTAATTTGTTCTCAAAATGATTCACTTTTTTGAACACCGCAGTTTGAGTACATCTGGTCAAATGCGTCTAAATACAAAGGAAATACTTGAAAAAAATTAGAATAATATGATACAATTTAATAAGAGAGCAGTCCAAAATATCATCAAATACAATGTTTTGAAAATTAGCAGATTATGTAGAAGTTAATATGCAAGGGTGATCTTTTATAAATATATTTGTTTTATATATATATATATATATTGTCTGACATTTACATATAAAGTTCATACTAATACAATATTAGGTTTTATTTGTATACTCAAGTTCATATATATATATATATATATATATATAAATTGTGACACAATTGACATGCACATTAAGCAAAGATTCATAAGTGAATGTTAGAAAATGGTGCACTTTTTGAGCATTTTATATTCTATTTAAAAAGAAAATAAAGGGAAATTACAGTCACATCGATGCTTTAATCAAAGATAAAATGTATATAATCTTCTTGCAACAGCGCAGCAAATTAGATAATTTTGCTCAACAATAAAACGTATAACTTAACTGAAACATTGCTTCAACACTGCGGAACATAATTCATACAAATGCTATGAGAAGCTACACTGCAGAATGGGAATACATAAAGTCATTAATTTTTTTTTATCAGGAGTTGTGATGTGGGTGTCCAGCGATGCCACAAAAGTGGAGTAAAGTTTAATTTGGGCTTCATCTTACCACGTCAGCTTGCTGTGTGGCTACAACAGAAATAAGACAAGTTAAAAACTTGCACATAAATAAATGTATTTACTATTAATAAAATTACTCTTTATTGACTAGTAGTGATGACAGTTTCTTCTTTATTGATGATGATTCTGAGATGACTTGAGGATCTTCTACAGTGCTTCTACAGTCTGATTCTCATGTTCAGAAGAGCCCAACTGGTGAACAGCAGGTGTGGGATGGGCGGACTATGTAAAAACATATTTATTATTTATTTATTTATTAATTCTTATGAATATATTTGAGGATTTTTGAATGCACTAACTCTTCTGCATGTGCAGTTTTTAATGTTTCACTTACTGTGAGTATGTTGTACTGATCAGAAGATCTGGTCCTGGGGTCAAGAGCTGTATATCTGTTTGCATTGAGATCATCATTCTGCAGGGAAACAAACATAATACACACACACACACACATGTTGGGTTTTATGGTTTATGGGGACTCTCCATAGGCATAGTGGTATTTATACTGTGCAAACTGTACATGGCCCTAGACTAACCCTACACATAAACTTACCCCTCACAGAAAACTTTGTGCATTTTTAGATTTTCACCACAAAAAAAAAACATAAACATGTACACACACACACACACATGTTGGGTTTTATGGTTTATGGGGACTCTCCATAGGCATAGTGGTATTTATACTGTGCAAACTGTACATGGCCCTAGACTAACCCTACACATAAACTTACCCCTCACAGAAAACTTTGTGCATTTTTAGATTTTCCCCCCAAAAAAAAAAACATAAACATGTACACACACACACACACATGTTGGGTTTTATGGTTTATGGGGACTCTCCATAGGCATAGTGGTATTTATACTGTGCAAACTGTACATGGCCCTAGACTAACCCTACACATAAACTTACCCCTCACAGAAAACTTTGTGCATTTTTAGATTTTCACCACAAAAAAAAAACATAAACATGAACACACACACACACACACATCTCTACATGTACACTGTTAGACCTTACCAGGAATTTTTACAGTAATATATTGGCAACACGGTTGCCAGCTATACTGTTGGTCAAATATCTTGCCCTGTAAAGTAATGGTAAAATACCAATTTGCTGTTAATTGTGCAGTTATTTACTGTAGCCTAGTTTACAGTATTTTACTGTAAAGATACCATGCACTAAATTCAAACTCATGTTAACTAATTTCCTTTTTAGAAACTTACTTCCTTGAATTAGCCAACTACCAATTTAGTTTATAAACTAATATTTTTAACATGAACATATTAATACTTTGAACATATTTAATTTGAGTCTACTTAGAAATGACATTTCTTAAAGCAAAAATAACTGAATGAAACACAACCATTAAAATACCAAAATTAAATTTCTTGCAGAAAACAGCTAGTTATCCACAGCACCCATGCATGTGCAATTTAGCTAAACGATTTTCACTGCATCATCAACAACGACGATGAATTTATGAATCCGTGTATCATTCGATCATTCGTTTTTTTATTTAATATTGAAAGTAGAAAAATTAGAAAGCGGCTCCTTTTTCGTTTTTTTGTTTTTCTCCAAAAAACGAGAAACGAGAATTCAGCTTAAATTTTAGTTTTTCGTTCATGGGTGGAAAAATGAATAAACAGCTTGAATATTCGATTTCTACACGTGGGCGGGAATTAAACCCTCCTTTCTGCTGATTGGTCAGCCGAAGATCAAACCGTGCCATCATCAGTTCTTCTGCAGTATCACGCAGCAGAATAATAGTCCTCCACTGCTGCAGTTGTATGGATTCTTAACACATCATCAAACAAACAGTCAAATGAATAGCTCGACACATCAGCTGGGCATGACAGGGTATGATATGACAGCTGTCATAGCCTACCCTGCTCACCCAGTAAGTCTGTTTGTTTAATTAAGAAATTAATTAATTTGTTTCAAAATAAAAATTTTAAACACTAAGACAAAAAGGAAAGAATAATAAATTGGCTTGGGTTGACCTATGTTCACGCAAGAACTGTTCTGACTGACAACCGGAGAACAACAGATATTAAATAGCCTACCGCTAGAGTTATATAATGTAGTCTTGTGTTTTATTAAAATTGATTATAATTGATATCTCAAAAGGATATGCACTTGTGCGTGGCATGAGCTGCTGCGCACTCGCACTGCAACGCAAGATTTTCATAAAATATAATAACTTGCCATTTCCATTTGTTTCTCACCAAACCCTCAGTATACCTTCAGAATGCACAGGAAATAAGCAGCAGTCATATTTAAAGCAGTTTAAATTAATATTGAGTACTGATCGATGTTCATTTGGAATTTTTCCACCATCGAGGGGAAATAACTTAATACTCTGTCATTTATAAAATCCAAGTGAACATCAATCAGTACTCAATATTAATTTAAACATCGGACCCCCTATTACTTTAAGAAAGACCTGTCTAGACTCTGCCCCGGTATGAGTTGTGTCGAGCTATTCATTAGTCTGTTTGTTTGATGAAAAATTTGAAATTAATCAAATGGGTTATTAATCCGTACAACTGCAGCAGCGGAGGACTATTATTCTGCCGCGTGATACTGTGGAAGAACTGATGACGGCACGGTTTGATCTTCGACTGACCAATCAGCAGAAAGGGGCGTTTAATTCCTGCCCACGTGTAGAAATCGAATATTCAAGCTGTTTATTCATTTTTCATGTTCCAAAATGTAAATTTTAAGCTGAATTCTCGTTTTTCGTTTTTTGGAAATAAACTAAAAAACTAAAAAGGAGCCGTTTTCTAATTTTTCTATTTTCAATATTAAATCAAAAAACAAATGATCGACTGATACACGGATTAGCATAGGTAGTTTGAAACGGTATCCAATTCCAAATAAAGAAAACAAAACCCACCCCTAAACTAGGCTTGCCGAGATAGACGGTGCTGATGGTGATACTGGTGTTAAGCCGCAACACCGGTTAAGTCGCTTGCCCACAGCGTCACCAACCCCCACCGTCGTTTTGATTTTTTATAGAACTAAAAATCATTTAGTTCAGTAAGAGAACAGACACTACAATTAAAAACTGAACTCGGCTGCTCAATGCAGCGTGCCGAATGACCAGAGGCGGACAAAGTACACAACTCCATTACTTGAGTGAAAGTACAGATACTGCTGGTCAAATCTTACTCCATTACAAGTAAAAGTTGTAAAGAAAGATTTTTACTTCAGTAAAAGTACAGAAGTACTTGCTTTTAAAAGTACTTAAGTACCAAAAGTAAATTTCCTTTTTTGTCAATGCACTGTTTTGTTATTGTTGTACGTAATACTTGCAATACTTCTGAAGCAACTTAGAATCGGAGCATGTGAGCGAAGCGGAGCGGTTAATATTCCGCTCACGCTCACCGTGAACCAATTCCCGCTCAGATCCCACTCCGACATAACATTTCTCTAGTAGGCCTAATTGTTTACTGTTTGTAACGAAATTCTTGGGTTATTGTCTAAAATTAAGCATGCTGATAAATAGCAATTATCATGTTTCAGAGCGAAATTCTTACATTCTTCTTAATT